TCTCTCTCTCTCTCTCTCTCTCTCTCTCTCTCTCTTCCTCTCCCTCCGCGTTCCTCCATTCCTCCTAAGCTCTTTAACCCTTAACCCTTCCGTCACCCCTTCCCCCCCCCCATGGCATGTGACTAACCTCCACCCTCACCTGTTACATTGTAAGGGAACGAACGGGAAGGAACTTAGTCCTCACTTGGTGGAAACCGAGAGCAAGGGAAGGGCAGTCGGTCCCTTGTGCCACCAAGAAGGGAAGGATACGGAACTATTGAGAGCAACTGCGGAAGCAACAAGGAGTGCTGATTTTGGACGAGGTTTGTTTGACTCAACCATCTTCCCCGACTGCATGACTACCATCTCCCCCGACTGCATGACTAAGTTGAAGGCATGGCTTGCTTGAGTGAAGGGAAAGATAACCAAAGGATCATCAGAGGCAAAAGGAACTTAGGCTTGTGGGAGGGGCGATGTGTTGACCCCAATGGGGATTGTACCTGGCTATTGCTTTGTATGGTCTTGCGCAGCTGAGTATCCTAGGGTGGTCTGAGCGGGACTGCGTCCGCCGGATGCGGGCGAGAATAGGGAAAGCGTCGAGGGAACGACTTAGTTCCCGCTTAAACTATGTATGCAGAATGGGTTGGATGGTCGGATGCTTGAATGAGTGGTAGACGCCGGGATAGGGCTTGTGTGATGATTGAATACAATGGTTCTCTTGAATGCAATGCAAGCCCGGAAGGACTAAGGGCAGTCGTGGATAGGTGAATGCAATGTTGGTGGCTCAAGGAAAAAAAAGTATAGCGGCTAGGGGTCCGGGCGATGCCACCCTACCCCAAGGATGCCGTAGGGGCTGTCTTGAGCCACCAGACTTAGTGAAAAGGTGCGTGGCCCAATGGATGATGCTTGGCCTGCGCATGATAAGAAGACAAACCTTCAATAAACTCTCTGGACTGCTTGCGTATTGGAAGGAGCAATTGCCTGGCCAGACTTAATCGAATCAAGAAAACGCCACAAGTGGCCAAAGAGCTACCATCTTGACGCGAGAGCGAAGCTACATCCCCCAATGTAAAGCCCTCTCGCAAAAGGCCCATCCCCATCCATCTCAAAGCACTAGGTGGGGGTGCCCCAGGGACAAACGACCCGCGCCCGGAGTGTGAGCGTGGGCGGGTCGAGCCAAATGGGACCCGCAGTGGGGTCGACCGAGGCTCGAAAGTCCTTTAGGGTACGGCCCCTACACCGGGTGCACACAACAGAGTCAGTTAGTGATGCAGGTGAGAACGATGACTCACGCTCCGTCGACGACGACAATCCTGTTGAAGCACCACAAATGCCTATTCCAGAGGAGGTCACAATCCAACGTCATCGGCTGCGCAGCAATCTGCTTGGACTCGAGAGACAACTCAACGAGTCGTGGAGGAAGGCCACAAAGGCTTCCAAGTTTCTGGTCCGGCAACATTTGCATGAGTTGGATCAGGCCACGAGGACCATCACCGTTGAGCATGCCAACAAATACAAAGTTGCCAGGGCAATTGCATGTGCACCGCCCTCGATCCCGGCCAAACGAGGGAGAGGGAGACCTAGGAAGGAGGTTGCAACTCGAGGCGGGACAGGTGATGAGGAGGCTCAGGGCGTGGAAGGTGGCAGTTTGGCAGAAGGTCCTGCACCCGCATGTCTCACAAGAAAGCGGGAACGACCGCAGAAGCAGCCCGTGCAAGAGAAGGAGGAAGTAGCGCCAGAAGGGGCAAGCAGCAATGAAAGTGGTGGCGGTGCTGATGAAAATGATGGTGGCAGCGACGAAAGTGATGGGAGCGGCGATGGTGACGATGGCAGCGGCAATAGTGACGACGGGAGCAGTGGCTGCGATGGGACTGATAGCAGTGGCAAGGGGGACGAAGGGGAAGGCAACGAGAAAGATGGTTGTTCGTCGGAGGAAGAGGGCGACTCTGAATCAGAACCCCTGTCTAAATTGCGCAAGACATCCCACTGACACGTGTGCGCGTCTGTGTGTGTGTGTGTGTGTGTGTGTGTGTGTGTGAGAGAGAGAGAGAGAGAGAGAGCACTGACAGTGCTGGTAGTCTGAACACTCTTCAAGTTCAAACTGCTAAGTTATTTAAACTTTTTCAAACTTTTTTTGATTTTTTTTTCCCCTGTTGT